CCAGATGGAGTCCAGGAATAGACTTCAGTTTGTGGGCGAGGGCGGAGGTGTGTCTATAAACATCAAGAAAACCTCAAGTTTTAAAGGTGACCACAAGGCCCTCTGCAAGAGGTTGGCTGGGAGGACAATGGCAATTCCCCTCCACCTCCTTCTCTACCCACCACCTACTTAGAAAGGGCAGTGGTGCCGAGGAGCAGGAAGGAAGAGCAGAGCGCGGACCCAGGGACACGGGAGGAAGGAAGCTGGGTCTGTAGCTGGAGACCCATATGTTGATTCTGATTCTGTGATTTCTTCCAGGATTAGCTAAAATGTATCCATGCAGCCTGGCTCGTGTGGTCACGTGGGATACAGTCCACACGAAATCGCCTTGCTGTCAGTTTATTCTTCCATTTCCTCCTCCAGCCGGGTTGTTAATCTAGTGCCTGGACCTGAGCACGCCTGGCCCATTCCCAAGTCACGCTGTGGCCCGCCTGCCCCAATCCTGCTGGTGTTTTTAGGTCCAGCGCATAATCCACCTCCTCCAGGAAGCCTTCCCTGACCTCTCTAACCCAACAAGTTCCTCTTCCATTCAGCATCTCCCCCTGGCCTTTCCACAGTCAGGCACTTTCCCCACTGCTGCCTGTCAGGTACCTACCTTTTTCTGTAGCTCCCCGAGGTCAGGGACCCTCCTTGTTTGTCCCCCATCAGTAGTCAGTGCAGGCTCCTGCATGGAGCTCCATAGGTATTGACTCCAGAATGATTGGAGAAGGGCCTGGTGTTTTGTAGGTGTGCAAGAATGGATGGCTCCTTACTCTCCACCCTGGACAGGGAAAAACTCCCATCTGAAATAAGTTCCCTTGCCCGTGGGTTTGGCTGGATGAGCCATTCTCTCCAATGCTGTCATCAAAATATGACGAGTGAAAGCTGTTATGTCCTCCGTAGGTACTGTGCGTCATCTGGGTCTCGGGTCCCTGCCACTCTCTCTGGCAGTGTGTATCCGATTTTTTCCCTCCTGGCTGACTTTATTTTTGAGTGTATGGTGAGTGAACTCATTAGGAGTTAAATTGCTGGCCACCCACTCTGTAGTCGGCTGTGTGCTGGGCACCACAGTGTGGGAGAGATGTGTCCCCTATCCTTGGGGGACTTGCCATCCTGTCATTCACCTCATCTGTCCATTCAACAACTTCTTGCACTTACGAAACGCCTGGCCTGTACTGGTAGGCTCTGGGGATAGGAAACAGAAAAAGAGGACGTAGTCCCTGCTTTGGGGACATGACATCTGAAGGGGGAGACAGCTAAACCACTTCAAGTCAGTCAGGTCAACAGCTTCTTAGAGGGCGTGATGAAGGTGCTGGATATACAGACTTACCAGCTGCTATTTCTGAGACAAGAACACTATCCAGTCTAAAGAGCAAAGTAGTAGGAACATTTTGAGGGCAAAGAAAGCAACATCCCACCGTCACAAAAATCTCCTGCCCTGGTCTCTGATGTTTTCATTTCCTTTCATAAGAAAATGAAGTATTTCATTCCACAAGAGACAAGCATTAGAGAACAGACTTAAACTGATATCCTATTCCTGATGGGAGCAAGAAAAAACAGGAGAAAACAGGGCATGCCCATTTCACAGAGGAGGAGACTGAGGCTCCGCACAGAAGCTTCAGCCATTTGGCCCAGCTCACAGGGCGAGTTGCAGGAGGTGGTGTGGCTCCAGCCCAAACCTCCTGGTTCTCAGGCATCCCTCTCCTCTCTCTCCTCCATTTCACGCTGCACGCCAGCCCAGGGCACGAGTTATAGGGTATTGTGGGCCCTCGGATGCCCCGTGGGACACCAGCAGGATTAACTGTCATGAAGCCATGTCCAGAGAGGCCAAGGTGGAAGACACATGAGGCCACCTCCAGACGGACACCAATCCTGGCTGGTGCAGGGCGCGAACCTGCTCCCCCTGCAAACACAGCTGCTGGAAGCCATACCAACGTGATCGTCCAAATCCGGGGAGCTCAGCCCATGCTTCAGGGGAGCTGTGCCAGTGACAAAAGAATGCGCTCTATATCTGGCTGCTGGCTCAGAAGTCTGACCCACCCGCGGAGGGCAGTGGCTGGCACAGCAGTGGCATGTGTGTGCCCATCCTACTGCAGGAGCTGCCAACCCGTGACAGACCCACTGCATTCTGCTTGCTCATGGCTTCCCCAACAAGCCACGTCTCCCTCAACTACTGCTTTGCCTTTTTGGAAAGGGCAGCAAAAAGAGGGTGGATGAGATAATGGTGAATCTTCCAGAAACCCTCAACGGAACCCCAGAGCCAAGCTGACTGCACAAAGACGTGAAGTTGGACTCTCTCAGCTCTCAGAGCACTTTTCCAGGCATCGTCAAACTCACCCCTGTCCCCTTCATATGAAAACCTGCTCTGAAGAAGGGAATAATTCAAGTCACGAGCCTGGAGGGATAAAGGAGTGAGAGCGCTCTGCTGTGTTGGCTTTCATCAGCATCAAGAAACCTTGTGAAAAAGAATGACTCTGTCAGGGTGGTGTTAAGGCGTAGCTGGGACACCGATGGACACCTTGGAGAGAAGAGCTCAGTCTTCACTCCTAAAAACGAGGCTGGTTAGAAGCCATTTCCTTTGTCCTATTTCTGGTTCAATCACATGGATTCTCCGGTACCCGGCACACGGTGCTATAGGGAGAGCTGGCCCGGACCCGCAGCACAGCCTCCCACGGGGACCTCTGCTGTCAAATCCCCTCGCCACCACTGGATGTTTGCAGCCCAATTCTACCATCCACCTCCTTTTGTTCATACACGTCCTCACTCCTCCTTTTCCCTGGAAACCACACTCCTTCCTTGTCGTCCTTTATCCTGCGGGGTCTACGTGATTGTTGACCATGAACGTGATTTCTCTTTGACCTTGGAATGACTTTCTGCATTTGATTCTCAGACGGCCTGACGCGTAGGGATTTCTACTTGTGGTGAAATCTAATGCCACACCTGGAGAGAATCCGGCCCTTTCAAGAACTAGATGACTAAATTACGACGCACCCAGACTCGGGAAGGCCTGATGTACCAGCTCGGTTCTCCCTGCTCCCGCGCGTAGCTGCCTCCAGTCTGGGAACAGGAGCCTCTCCCACTACCTGATGGGGATTCCCGATTGCCTACAAAGTGGGAGTAAACCGAGGGTGTGAGATGTCAACACAGCACAATGGAACAGGATAGATGGTCTTCCATTAAAGCAGAACGTACAGCCGAGGTCTGTGACCTTCCTTAGTAAAATTAAAAACAACCCGTTAAATAAACACAGCTGGACACAATTGAGAAAACACTGGCGATCTGTCCTTTGCAGAAATAAAGCCGAAGGGCTACTTACTGTTGTCGAATGGCCACACATGAGAGGGGCTGGAAATGCAGCTACGGTCCAGCGTGAGGGTCGCTACATGGCAGACCCAGAAATCAAGGTTTCTGATTGTACTGAATAGGCCAAGAGAGGCCTGGAGAGCGAGCTCTCTGCTCTGGTCTCTCCAGCCCGCGTGGTTTCTCAGTTAGTGTGAGAACAACGGTTTGCACAACCCCTGCTTTCACTTAGTGCAAAAATGGGCTTATTTTCTAAGCTAAATGTAGTTCAACCACTGGGGCCTTCAAAGCGTCCACGGCCCACCCCTTTTGACTGCAACCATCTGACATGTCGTCTAAGCAGGGCCCAGGCCACTCACCATGGGTCTGAGTGTTGGGGCCTCATCAATAATGTATTTATTCTGAGTTTAAGTGTAACGCCCTTCCAGGCAGCGTAGCGGTGCAGAAAATAGCAAGGAGAGAGCTTGCTTTTGTAGGTTTTGTTTGTGAACACACTTCATGTTGGTGACCTCCTCCTCCAGGGCTCCCTGAACACCTGCAATGGCTCATGACAACCCGGGGGCACTCACTCTTAGGTTTCTGCAGCCCGAATGAGGCAGAACAACGTTAAATCTGGCCATGTCACTCTTCTGCTTCAACCTTCCATTGTTTCCCGCTGCCCTTAGGATAAAAACCTGACAACTCATGTGCCTTCATAGCTGGCCTCTCCTCCTCATTTTGCGCCATGTCTCCCCTACCCTCTTCAGGCTCAAGCCAAACTGGTCTTGCCTCAGTTCCACCATCTTGTATGCTGGCTCCCACCCCAGGGCCTTTGCATGTGCTGTTCCCTCTGCCCCTGCTTTTCCATTCACTGACTTCACTTCTACTCCTTCTTCAGGATTCTGCCCAAATGTCACTTCCTCTCAGAAGGCCTCTGTGACCTCCCAGACCAGAGCAGGTCCTTTATCTCATGCTTTCCCAGCCCCTGCTCCTTTGTGGCACTTGGCCTCTGGGCGATGAGATCCTGGTGGGGCCAGTTGTTTTTATCTGCACCCCTCACTGGAATATAAACTCCACAAGGCAAGATGGCATCTATTTGCTTGTCTTGTAATCCTAACTCCTTGTGTTCAGTACTGGGGCACATAGTTGAATGCATGTTTGTTGAATGACTGAATGAAAGAATAGGGTATGCCATGTTGGGAAACAACAATGGATTTCCTGTCAAAACTCATACTGAACTACAAGACAGGAAACATCCTATGAAGCACAAAACATGTTACCTTCATGCTGAGAAGCCCAGCAGTGGCCTCATATAGCTGTCACCTGCAGATGGCCAAGAGGCCAAAAACTTGCCCAAAACTTTGCTCCATCTGTTCTGCCCCACTGTCCCCTCTTGGAAAAGTTATCCATTTATGGATCTTTGTGGGGAGTGAGAAGAGAGCTAATAGGCTTAGGAATCATCAAATCACAGAACGAGCCCCAGGCAGGAACTCAGAGACCCGACCCAGCCACACTGAGTCGGGGAGGCCGCTGGCGAGAAGCCGCTCTCCCTGCCCCGCCAGATGAGAGGGCGCTAGGGCGTGGAGGACGTGCCCCCTTGATGCTCAGCCTACTGCACGGGGAACAACGCTGCATTTCCTGAGAACAATGTTCCCCACAAAGGGAGAGACCAAAACCAGCCCCGCTCTGCTCTGTTTCCGCAGCTCAGGATCCTGGCTCAGCCTCGCTCCTCAGCACCAGCGTGTGGACTGGGCAAGATTTTAAGCAAGGCGTGGCCACCCACCAGGTAAGTGAAACCCCATTGCATGAACCCGCTGCCGGGGACCCACTAAGCCAAGGAGCGCCCTCAGCAGAGGGTCCCCCTGGTTCTCTTCTCATTTCCCCACCACCTGGTGGTCTCCTCTCTCTAGGGCGCTTTCCGTCGCACAGCAGAATGCGATGGTGCTGTGAAGATGGACCATGCAGAAGAAGCCTCGGCTTATTCTTAGGCACATGGGATCACTAGGACAAAGTGTCAGGTTGTCACTGGATCACCCAGGTGTTCTGGGCATCATGTGGGTGCACTCCAAAAAGAACCAAAGAGAAGGAAAAAAACCACTTCACAAAAGTGAAAAGTAGTCCATCTAAGAGTGTTGTTTTGATTTCATCTTTTCTTTACTGAATTGGTCCAAATTGATGAGCATCACTATCCCTCTCAAAGGATCTCATACACCCCAAGAGGTAAGTCGGGCCGAATGAGCTTGGAATGGCCACCAGTTATTGGCATTTCCTGTAGGCCAGACACCGCTCACCATCACCGCATTGCATCCTTTACCCTCAAACTGACCTTCAGAAGCGGACAAAGTTATTATCCCAATGATGCTCTGGGAGGTTGGATGACTTGCCGAACAGATGATGAGGACTAGGATCCCAGTTCAGATGCGGTGACACCACAGTCTCAGGCCTTACCTAAAACTCTTGCAGGCAGTGGGGTTAGAGGAAACTAAAACAGTGTTGCCAAGGGTCCTGGGAGAATGGCCAAAGACAGGCCACTCCAGGCAGTGGACAGCACATGGCAAAGCCCAGTGGGACCCACAGAAAAGGAGGACGTCTCTGTGATTACCCTGCGGTCTCTCCTTTACCCCCAGACCCGACTCTTGGGCACAAAGCCCCCACTCCAGGCTGCCGCAGACACACGCAACTCAAGTCCACTCAGGGACATGCAAGCGGGTCCCCGACTCATGCTGGAGGCTCTGCTGCAGTGTGCAGAGCCCATGGACTCCCCGTAGAGTGCTCCTTCTCTCCCATGGAGCCAGCAGACCCCCTTCCTGAATGTGAAAGCTCAGCGGATATAGACAAGTAGCTTCTGCCTTTACGCACCTGCTGGAAGCATTTTGAAGGAAGCCGCAGCAGTCAGTGGCAGACAGGATTTTCCCTCCGGTCATTTGAGAATGCAGGTTATATGCTGTTATCCTGATGGGGGCCTTGGAGTCACAGGTTTGATGTCGTGACTTTGATGTGAAAGGACTGGGGAGAGATGGGAGAGCCAGAAAGGCCTGGGGGGGGGGGGGGACCATTGCAGATGCAGCCCGACCTCCCCAGAGTCACCATCACCCAGAGGGAGGTGCCGACACTCAGAAGGGAGCCCTGGCAACTGAGATGGGTGTGCTGTGATGAGGATCCTGCAAGAGCGGAGGATGGGAGGGGCGGGGGGTGCAGAGAAGCAGACTGGAGCAGAGCAGAGCTTATACATTTTGGGTGCTTGCTTGAGCATCACTGAGCTGGGACCTTAACTGTGGTCAATGACCCTCAGTCACAAACGAGTGGGCACATGAAGCGAGGAGTCACGAGGAGACGTGAGAAGTGATGGCAGCGTCTCTCAGAAAGTGATGGGAACATCTTTTCTTCATCAGGCGGATGAAGAGCACTTTCCCAAGCTCTCCAAACATAAGATAAACTTGACAGAAAGCCTGGGTAATGCACTTGGCCTACAGGAGGGCAGGCGTGCTGGTGGACGTCCCCACCCAGTATTTGTTACCTGGGAAGGCCACTCCTTGCCCTCCACTCCATACATCACAGGAGGATGGGAGGTCAGCAGAAGCCCTTTGAGAGATGTGCTTGGAGATGGTTTCAATTTGCTAGCTGGGAACCAAACACCTGAATCCACATACCATGATTTTTACAAGCATCTTTAGCAGTTAAAACTTCAAGTAAAAGTTTCAAGTATCTATGGACACTAGCAGTCTATTGTAAGCTAATATACACAATAGAAAGGCTGAGAAAAATCACAAATGGGAGTCTGGTTTATAGAAGTCAAATGATGGCCTTGAGTAAGACTGCTGCCAAAGTTAACGATATTCCAGATGGTAAATGAAAGTAAAGTGTGTCTGACATCTGCTAAAGCTGGTGGATTTCATCCCTCTGCCTCCATATTAGCGCCCTGATTGACCTGGCACGTTCAAGATCTACTATTTGTAATCGACAGATGATCTGACTCATACGATCAAATGGTTCTCCTTCCAAAGACGAATCAGAGCCACCTGGTTAACTTCCCAACTGATCTCTTTTACTAGATGTTTAGTCTTAGATATGCAGTGTGCCTGTGAGAGTATCTAAGCACGAAACACATCAGATGCACGCGGCTTGGTCTCGTGGTGGGACCAAGACTCAAGACCTTAAACTTTCTATGACCGAATCAAGCAGAATTTACACATCTCCTTACAAGGGAATCCAATAAAGTGCTTTGGCTACAGGAGGTACTCAATAAGCGGCTGACATCTCTGCCCTGGTTGTCATGGTAACCACATCATCCAAATGCAAGCGACAATTTTCATATGACATTTAAAGAGTCCTGTGTGAATCAGGCTAACCACATCTTTTGACCTGATTAGGCCCAGAATTGGCTTCATGTCTGCTCTTCATAGTCTGGCTTCAAGACCGTCAATCAAACACAGATGTCCTGAGCGCCTTCTGTGTACCTGGCACAGAACTGGACCCTAGGGATGCAAAGATGCTACAACAAAGGCCATGCTGTCAAGGTGTCCCTAACAGAGTGACAGGTGGACAGGTAACCACAGGACAGCAAGATGGGTGTGAGGGCCAGAGCAGGTGCTGGAGGCTTAGAGGAAGGTGTCCGAGGGCTTCCCTGGGAGTCGAAGACGGGTTGAGCAGAGTTGGGTTCTGATGGACAAGTGGGAGTTGGCCAGTGCAAGTGGAGGACAGCACATCCCATGGACAGCATTCCGAACGGCACAGCAGCATGTCTGGAGGGCAGGAGGGGACACTGCCTGACGTGGTGAGCACAGCAGTATGTCATCACCATGCATTGGGGATAATATAGGACACCTCCACTTTGGTTGTAGGACGTTATTTATATATTCATGAAATTCCTGTAGAATAGTGAATGTTAAACATTTGGGGGACATGGAGCCCTTTGAGAAGCTGATTAAAAAGAAGAGCAACTATGTGCCCTCCCCCCGTGACTCCTGGTTAAGAAGTCCTCGTGTGGAATACGAAGTGCTTCAAAGCCAGCTGAAACGATGCTGACCTACAGCCACAGCCACAGGTACCCGGGGGCTGGGCTTCCCTGCCTCTGCCTCTTAGGACCACCCATGTCTCTTACACAGCCCACAGAGAGAAGCATTGGGAGTGGTGGAACTTCCTGGCACTGAGCCCACCACTGCCCTGAGGGTGTGCTGGCCCAGAGCGAGGCTGGGCAGCCAGACGTAGGCCCAGCTCAGGTGAGCTAACATGCGGGCAGCACAGTGCTGCTTCCTGCCCCTCACCCCGCTGTGGGTGTCTCCAGGCAGCTCTCCAGGCGGGTGTTTCCCCTGAGCCCACAGTCAACCCATCAGCTAACAGTGTCTCCACAGAGAACATTCCATCCATGGCCTTCATGCTAGTGGGAGGCTCTCTAAATGGCCTACGAAGGATCAACAAAGTAAACAAACATAATGGAGAAAGCTGAAGTTCACAGGTAAAATTTAGAGTCTGCAGACCAGGACCTACATTGTCCTCCGGCCATCTATCCCTTCTGTTCCTCATCTTCTCTGAGACTTGGGTTCCCCATCTGTAAATAGGGTTCCAGGATTCCCACCTGATTCACAAGGCAGAGGGAGTAAAATCAAGTGAGATAATGTCGGGAAAGTGCTTTGAACTCTCAACCTTCTGAAAAGCCATTAATTATTATTAGAGAAAATATTAGAGAGTTAATGATAAACATCACAGAAAAAAAAACACAGCGTTTTACTAAAACCCCAAAACAAAATTTCAACATCAAAAAAAAGCCAGATACCCTATAGAGAGAGAATGGATAGTGTCTCTCATTTGTGATAAGGTATAAATATTTTTATTTGTTTATTATACAATTTTAGAAAGGACAAGGAAGAAAAGGCGCCTTGATGTGATTCCAGGTGAGAGTTAAGAACTTCCTGCCTGGTTGGAGCAGATGCTCCTCGAACACTGGCTGGGACACAGGTGTCCAGCCAATGTTTGTTTTTATTCTAGAAGGAGGTGCTGAACCAGGAGAGACCCTGCTGATGGAGAGGCTGTGTGCCATGAGCCTGGCCAGGCTACTCTGTAACCGGGGCCTCCCTAGCTCCATGATTTCTTTCTTCCCTACACTGGTGTCTGCGCAAGAGCAGGGCCCGCGATGGATTCCGGCTCCTCTGTGGTTCCATTACCTGCTGCTTTTTCCCCTTGGTCCCCGACTGTGTCCCCTTGCTTCAAACTGATTATGGGTGATGAGCCAGGAAAGGGCAAGAGAAATCCAGATGACCTCAGTGGAAAGCAAATTAAGCAAAGCACATAAAAGTTCAAAGGTGGTTCAACACATTGCTGCAGGCTTCGTTCATGCATTCATTTGTTCATCATGCATTTTCCTCATTCAGGCACTATGCTGGGGCGTAGAAATGAATCTGCATTACAATAGAGAAGACAGACAGATGGACACGAAGCAATTCGATGACAGAGGTTGGCAGAGAGACACCCAATCCAGACTACACGTGGTCCCTGCATTGAAATGTGGAGGGGGCACCTCAGCAAACACCAAGGGCCAGGGCCAATGACACAGAGCCCTGAGAACCCCAAAGGCCATGCGAGCAGGGCAGGATTGTAAGCCTGGGTGTGGCTTAAGCTCATACACTTGTTAAAATTTCCCAGAGAGTTATGTGGAGGTTAGAGGGGGACAGAGAATTGCGAGTGTTAAGATCTGAAGCAAGAAAACTGTCAGAGGATCTGGTCCTGTGGCATAGTGGTTGGAGTCAGCTCACTCTGTTTTGGCAGCCCAGGTTCACGGGTTCGGACCCTGGACACAGACCCACACCACTCATCAGCCATGTTGTGGCAGCAACCCACACACAAAATAGACGAAGACTGGCACAGATGTTAGCTCAGGGCAAATCTTCCTCAGCAAAAAAGAAAGAAAGGAGGAAAGAAAACTGTCAGAAACTATCAAAGCCATATAGGCAAAGTGCTACGAGAGCTTGGGACTTCAGTGATGACACCAAAGATGAAAAAGAAGGGGTAAATGAGAAATACTCAGGAGGTAGAGTTTGGACACATGGAAAAGTCTTGATTCCAGCTCCCAGCTCTGCCACTTGGTAGCTCCATGATCTGCAGACGATGTTGCATCCCTGAACTTCAGTTTCCTCATCTGTAAAACCAGCCTCACTGAAAAAGGATTGAAAAACAGAGTAAAGAGATTCACCTGGCACGTCGCAGGCACTCAGTTAACATTAGCCCCATGGAAGAAGGTGGTAACTGGAGCCATAGGCTGGAGTCAACTTTGAAAATAAATAGTAAGAGAAAGGGGAAGGGCAGAGAGCAGCTGCTGTGGAACCCTAGTGTTGGGTAACAAGTCTCACATGTGGACTTGGGGAAGAACCACACGAAAATAACGTGACTGTCAAGAGAGGGCTGTGCCCCATGACTTCACTTGGAGTGACTCCAAATGCCAGGATCCCCAAGTCATGGGGACTAAGGACCAACACTAAGGACCAACATCCCTGGTACCTCTAAACCCCAGCCCCTACGAAAGGATGGGTTCAAACTCAGCTTCTAATGCTGAAATCAGTTGAACAACACTTTTTTCCTTTTACAAAATCACCAGAAAAAACTCAGAGAACCCCCAGCTATTTCATCACTCCCCATTCCTCTCTGCAAACCCACAGCCAAGTGAAAGGACCAGAGTAAATATTCCCCTACCCCTTTCCAGAATCACACATCTGCTCATGCCTGCTTCACTTCCACGGTCCACCAACCATTCTTTCCTTGCCCCTTTCCAAACACGCCCCCAAAGCTTCTTCAGGCAGGAGCTGACCTGAACTCTGTGGGGACCTCAGTCCACTAGAGCATTTCCCACGTTGAGTTCTGGGGGAGCAGAGTAGGTCACAGTGGAACGCAGGCAGCCAGCACTTTCACTGTGAGAAGCCGCCATCGGCCCCACTCTCTGCTGGAAATTCATCACCACGCGGAAAGGCCAAGAGCAAAGTTATTTCCGTCCATCAGGTATTTGCTACATCACTTGTTTCCTATTTCAGTGCGTTTCTAAAATTTCCCCTAGGGTGCGAGCCCTGAGCCGCCTTTGTTGTGAAACCTGGTTAACACGAGGTACTTTTTTTTTTTGTGACATCACTCAGATTAGGTCCCCGAGCGTGTGTAGGAAAATTAACCCCAGACAGTGTACAGGTTCTTCTGGGATCGCAAAGAAATGCAAAAAAAAAAAAAGGAGGAGAGGGCAATTGGGGGGCCAGCAAGGAAGGAGAGGGGAAAGAAAAGAAATCAAGATTAAAATGTGGGAAAACACTTGGCAAAGCAGCATTCTTAAAAAAGAAACTTTACCTACTTCCTTTTACTGGTTGTGGGTTATCTGTGGGTTCATATTTTTTTAAAGCTCAAATGAATAATTATCTGACAGATTTAGATCTGTTCCTCTCAATATGGCTTAGAACATATTAAAAATATTCAAATATTTTGCTCAGATCACCAGAGGTTCTGGATCATCTGAGTGTTTTCATGGGCTCTAAATCTGCAGGTGACTAGGATGAATTGGGCCAGAGGTCCAAGCCTTGTGTGGTTAAATAAATGATTAGAATCAGTTGACATTTAATAGAATTTTAGCTTATTGGCCTTTTAAATAATTAGCAGGAACACCAGGCCCACATTCCTACGTGATACCAATGTGCTGCCCCTTTTGGACACAGCATGGCTTCTGCCATTTTCCACAGTCCTCACCGCTCCCTATCACTCACCTCACCCCTTCATTGTCCCCACCTGGCTCCTCAGGCATTTGAGGGTGCAACCTCTGGGTTAGGCAGTGAGGCAGACTCTGAAACCAGACAGACAAAGTTGTGCTCCATGCTAGTGAGTTATAATCTCTCAAATATATGGAAATCATCAGGCAGTTTCCCAAATAAACTCAGAGAAAACCAAAAGACCTTTATAAATGGAGCAGAGAGTTCTAGTTCCCAGTTGCTATGGCTTGAGTCCCAACTTCTCTATCCTGCCCACCCCACCCCCCACCCCCCGCAAATAGTTAATTCGCCATCAGAAAGAGTTGAAAACCCCCTACCTCTGAAGTGCCCAGGCTTTACTTGGGGCTGTATCATTTCAGGACACCACCTTGTGCTGAGAGAAACCAGGCGAGGGCAGTGGGAGGTGTGTGGGGGTGAGAAGGTCAGAGAGCAGAGTGGCAGGAACGGGTGGGAACTGTTCATCAGGGACTCGTGCCACATCATCGATTTCTGGAAAATACTGAGAATTGAAAATGGTCATGTTTGCTTTAAAAAACAGAAATGTGTCCTGAAGCCCCAACACGGCTTTATTCAAAGACCACATTGGAATTAAACAGAAGGTTCCCTCTGTAAAAGCTTTGCCTCCCAGAGGTAGCATCGCTGTCTTGAGAGCAGAAGGAGGTGGATGTGAGCAGAAGTTAAAATAATCAGAAAAGCATTCAATCAGGGAGCCATGTTTATGGCTCTATGTCAGAGCTGCTGAGGAGCATCACCCGCCATCCCTTCTCTCCTTCCACACACACTCTTGCATGCACGCACGCACGCTGCCTGCTGAGGTCATCTGTCTCTGCCAGAAACAGGGTAAATGACCAGGAAGTGAGCAAGTGGCAATGGCAACAGAAACTGAGTGATTCTAGCATCGTAAGAATCACAAGAAGATACTGGAGTCAAGTCATGAATCACGACGACTTGAAACTCCCGGGTGATGTTCATTCTGCTTTCCCGCTCAGTCCCCATACGGAAGAAAACCATTTAATTTAGAGTCATTCGTTTAGATTTCTCAGCCGGCTAAACCTGACTGTTCCAACTTTTAGGGACAACTTTTCCTCATTACGTGACTCAGTCAGAGCTTCCCACTCAGGTGGCACAAAAGAGTTATGGCGATGCCATCATTCTGCTCCCCTCAGCTCTGGGCATAGCTGCACAAGGACTGGGTGGGCCGCTCAGCCTTCCCTGCCTCTGTTTACCTCCTGGTGTTATACAAATATTGTCATTTATTGTGTGTGCTGTGGAGTGTGAAAGTCTGGGAAGCATTGTTAAAATTCTCACAGAGATCCTTCACATTTGCGTGACAAGCTGTGATCAGCTATTCACTGAAGCAGGACCAACAATACCCGGTGTCCTGTGCTTTATTGTAAACCCATTCTTCAAAGTTCGGGTTTTAGAAAAACAACCTGCAATGTGCCTCTTCGTTGTTTTCTCTGCTAATTCCCGTCCCCGCCCCCCCGCCGCCCAGTTAAGCCAAACTCGCGGTGACTTGCTGTCTGGGGATGCGGCTCTCATATACTCTCTGCCTCTCCATCACTCTTCCCTCACCATTAACACCTACTCTCCCCTCCCAGGAAAAGCCTAGCCTCAAGAGCATCCCTCCAACAGCCAGACCTGCTGGAGCAGCAGGGCGAGCCCATCCTCCAGAGCCCGGTGGTGCTGACCCAGGGCCCCGAGACCAAGCAGAGGCATCTCTTCCTCTTCAGGGACTGGCTGGTCATCGCCAAGCGGAGGTAAGTCACAAAACTGTCATTGCCTCCCTCTCTGTTAAAAGGCAATTTCTTTCAAAGTCTCCACTGCCTGGCAACACTGCAAGGGACTCCCCTTCATCTGACAATCGAGGCCCCCAGAGGCTGCATCCCTCCGGCAGCATCACATCTGCAGTGGGTAGAGAACTAGGACAAGACGAGTATAGGAAGTCCATCACAAAGAAGTCCTGGGTGAACTTGACCTTGGGGTTACTAAAAAGTGTTGAATGTATTCACAGCAGCAGATTTAAAATCAGAAATTTAGAAACTCAATAAATCATTAATGTTAACAATCATGATAATCATTTTTCTCCCTGGGAAAATATGCAACTATACTTCCTCAATATTTGCATGAGATTAGGGGCGGAGACGTCAACAGAGTACAATATTAATTGTCTTGCCTGTAGAACAACTATCTACTCGCAACACCTCCCCGTGACTTCTTTCCCACTTCCGAGAACACACATGCACGCGGGTCTATCGGTGTAAAAGCTACGTGTGCTCTGGATACTTGTCTGATCTAAATTCATCGTGGTTCTCTGAACCGAGTTCCCATCCAGCACATCTTTACAACTGCCCAGGGAATTACTTGTTAAGTTCACTGATGGGGCCCAAATAAATTCCTCACTTCCAGGAGCTCAGGTTGTTAACTCACCCCAGAGCCCAGACTTTCCCCAGGGGGCCACCTCGAACTGCTCTGGGCAGAGAGGGAAGGAGAAAGACCAAGTCGTCTCTCCCACACTCCCCACTTTATGCCCTCCCCCTCCTTGGCTCCCTGCTTACAATTTTTGATATATTAGCTCCACCCAGGAGTCACCCATCAACTAGGTAACCCCCTCATCGCCTCAGGGAAGATGGGAGAGGAGGCTGAAGGGGCAGGTAGAGTATAAAGAATATTCTCCCTCGTGAGGCAGCAGAGTGGGGAGGATGACCCACTGGGCCAATGGCGGGTAAGCCACCCAGTGGGCAGCACCGGGCCCTTGTCACCTCCCTGCCCCACACTCCTCTCCCCTTAGTTTCGGGGGCTCCTCTTCTCCATGAAGCTTAAGAGGAATGAAGAGCAACCTCTCCCCAGGAGGGGGCCCCTGGTCCTGCAGCTTCCAAGGTGGTAGATAAACAAGGAGCAGTGGCGGGACCCATCTGGCCAGGCCACCAGCTAGCTTTGGGTGCAAGAGACTATCTGAGCCTGAGTGAGGGACACAGTGGCCCTGAGGACAGGACATGGCCAGGGACCAAGGAGTGTGACCCCCTGACCTCGAACAAACCCAAGCTCCAGTTAGAATCCCAGAGCAATGACCTCGGGGGCTGGTCACCGTTCATCCTCTGGAAATGAGTCGTGCCTGCCGGCTTCTAAGCCCTTTATTGCCACAACAAAATCCAGAGAGCACTAACTAGGGCATATCACCAAGCCCAGGTGCCTGGGGAATACCCTCCCCCCACCACCCCCAGGCCTGTGCCCTCTCAGAACGGAGCATCTGCCAGGCTCATCACGTGCATGCACTCGCTTTATCCTCACAACCCATTCCACAGAGGAGGAAGGTAAAGCTCAGAGAGGTTGAGGGCTTGCCCGGAGTCCCACAGAGAGGAAATGGCAGAAGCAAGCCTTAAACTTGCATCCTCTTTCTCCAAGGACAGCATTCCACCAGGGTGTGCCCCCCTCTGATCCTGGGGGGAAGCTGTCTGACTTGAGCCACACTCCCCAGGGCCAGGTGCACCTCAGATAGGATTCCGTGTATTTTTCAGAAAGAAACAGACAAGCACAGGGAATGTGTGACAGCCTCCCCAAAATTCCACACTGGCAAAGAAAAGGGGTGGAGGCGATGAATGCGAACATTGGGCTTGTAGGATTCATCAGGGAAATAGTGGGTCCCCTGGGGGAAAGCTCTGATGCTCACGGTTGGCAGCAGGGTCTGCATACAGAGCGTGGGAAAGATTTAAGGGAAGACTGGGGTAGCTGCTTTTGCATGGATGATGATGACTGGGGGTGGGGGGTGGAGCTGTAACATTTAGCTTCTGTTTTGTAAGAAGAAGAACATCTACACATTTTTTATACTTTCATTTAATTTCCCTTGAAAAGTTCTATTTTAAGCTTTGGGGGGAAAATGTGCCATATTTTAAAGACCTACTCACACCTACCCACCATGATTATTTTTTTAGATGCTTAGACATTTCAAAGAATTCAAAACACATCAGGCATCCTCCCCCCATATTCCTCCCAGCCAGGGAAATATTGTTTTCAGAGCCCTGAGAAATCCCCCGAGACACAAACAGCGGCGGGGAAACCCTGTTTCCCGAGAAAGTGAAACGGTGCCTTCCTGCCCGGGCTGCACAGAGCGCTCTGCAGCAGGGAGCGGAACCACCCCTCTCGTTCACTCAAACGAACACACTGATTCCTGCCTCAAAAAAAAAGCTCATGCTTCCCCGCAGTGAGGGATGAAAACGGAAAGATGAGCGCGGGGTTTGGGGCATCTCTTGAAAGACAGGCACCTGCGGGCGCACCGCCATGCCTCCAGGGGGCGCTGTGGGCCGGCTGGAGGCACATGCTGGCCGCAGCCCGGAGACCCGGCCAGACCTAGCCACGTGGCCTCCCCCTGGCTGCAGTGCACCAGCAGGGCCGCTTCTGCGCCCAGGACTGAGCCTTCAGGCCACTGCTTTAAAAGGATGACAATACCGCAATCCTCTTTGACTTCCCCAACGGAGAGTCAGGGTGATGGCACTTTCCAAGAAGGGGTATTAGATGTCCACACGCTCTCCATGGCCCAGCAGTATGACCCACCTTCACCCCCTCTGAGGGACGTTGCTCCTGCTGTCCCTGCTGCCTGGGCCACCTGGGAGGGTACACTCCCTCTTCCTGTGGCCAGCTCTACCCCATGCTTGGGGACATGGCTCCATGCGCAGTCGGAGCACACACTCTGGGACTCTCCGCTGGGGTTGAATCTTAGCCCTGCCATCTCCTAACTGTGACTGAAGTTCTGTGTGCCTCAAGTTTCCTCATCTGTAAAATGGGGATGAAAATAGCACCTACCTTCTAGGATGGCTAGGGGTGAGGATGAAAAGGACCACTCCACGTAGGGAGCTTAGAACGGGGCTGGCACGTGGGTTAAGTGTTTGCTATGAAGAGGAGTCACTTTCTGAAGGGCTTTCCAGGAAGAGTTCTGACACCTTACCCTGGGCCCAAAAAGAGAAGAGAGAGAGTCTCAATTTCCTCCACTAGCCTGAAAGTTCATTGTTAATAACCTATTTGCTAATTGCTGCTGTCATGGGTTGAGGTCTGCTCCACCCAAGGCATTCCGCCATCCTCTGGTGTTGTAAGCTTGAGTCCAAGCTCTCAAGGAATTTGTAATATAGCAGGAAAATTTAAAACCCACCAGCCTTGATGCACCAAAGGGAAGGAATGATGACTAACTCTAGTTTTCTTTAGTTTGGGGCTTTTTTTTAATTCAAGGAGTGAAACTCCTATGTGTCTGGGAAATGTATTCAAGTTATCTAAAGTAAATTTACTTTAGAATCTTCCACTATATGTTTTTAGGATGTACTTGGTACCATATTCAAATATGTATAAATGAGGAATTATTTTAAAGAAGTTTTACTGTGTTTTTACTGGCTTCTATCAATAGCTGACTTTTAAAGCATTATGGAGCCATGAGCCACGTGGTTATTTTCAAATCCTTGTGATTAGCATCAGTGAGTGAAAATCCGTAATGACCTCAGCAATCTGTGGACGAGTACACACCCTTTGCATCCATGGCCAAAGGGAAATGTTTTCAGTTGCGTTTTACTATAAATAGTATGAGACACAAAGAAGTTAAGTGTATTTCATAACATGCTCAGATGTTTTGAAATGTCCTTTTACCCCTGAGGCAACATCAGTTCACGATTGATAATAATCAGCCCCAGGGCTAGCTACATAACTTATAGACCCCAGGCTGAAGTGAAAATACAATTTTCATTTGTATTTGTTCAAAGAGCTGAACACGAAACCAAGCACAAGGCCCTTCTGAGCTTGGGAACCCGCGTCACCACACAGGTCATGTGTCCGTGAGGCTGGCTTTAGCTGTTATAATGTATTTTAATGTGAACATTAATGTATTAACATACTTCAGAAACTACCAAACTTAAGGCCTTGATTTGACATATTTACTAACATTTACCAATATTCAAGAGCATTCATTTTGTTCCACAAAAGGTCTAATTTCTTTTCCAAAAATCACGTTTTAGAACAAGACACGTCAACATTACTTTTTTAAAAAAATACAAGTTATGTAAGTGCATTTCTCACGTTTCTGTGAATTTCAATGTGGCTTTAACTGTTTTAGGCTGAAATATGAATTCAGTGTAGATTTCACTACGTGCTCTCATTCACAAGTTGACACAGCCTGTCCTGACATTCATTTTACAAAGACCACACTATCAAACAACAGGAGTTGGAAGAATTTAGATTGCCTGTTCCTATTGACTGAAATAACAGATATCTCTTTATTTCCCACACCTTGGGAAAACTTCCCATCAAGACTTACCCAAAGCAGCCCATTGGAAAGAGAAATCTTAGGGGAGCAAATCTGCTGAATGTTGAACAATATGTGTGCTTACTTTGTGCCACCCACTGTTCTAGGCCCTTCTCTTGTGGTAGCTCACTTAGTTCTTGAAAAAATTCCCATCAGGTGGGGAATGACATCCGATCACTTGTGCCGTAGCCTGTTCTTAGAAGCAAGTCAACAGGTCCAGCCCACAGTCAGAGGAGGATAACTAAGCTTCACCTTTTGGGGGAAGATACACCAAAGGATTCATGAGCGTATTTTTTAAACCAACACATTGGCATACAGACTACATTTACAACCACGAGACTGGATAAGAGCACCAAAAGATTGAGTGTAAAGGAAAAAAGAGACGGGGTCCAAGGATTGAGCCCTAGGATGCAACCATATTAAAATATGATTTTTCTGTTTTATAGATAGACAACCACAAAAGCACAAGTTCAGCAAATA